GTTGTCCTGCACCCCCGTCACTCTCCAGTATAGATGTTCCTGTGTCCGCGGGAGATACGATCTTACCACCTCCGCGGCCGCTGCCACCGCCTCCGCTGTTTTGCTTGCCGTGACCATCGCTTTCCACTCCTCCGACATTGCCGCGTATGCCATCAGTGCCCACCTGGCCGCTGCTACGTCTCCTAGCTCCGTTCTCAGTGTTTCTTTCCTCTTCACTGCGCGCTCCCCTCCCAGCCCTTCCTCCACCAGGTCGCTGAAACTCGCCGTTCTAATCCCCTCTGTACCCTCCCATACGGGCTCTTCCCTTTGAACATGACTTTGCGGTTGAAACACACCTTCGCTTGCTCCACCTCCCAACTAGTTTTTGGCTCTGGCAGCTCCGCACACGGGGACTCCCAGAACGCCTCAACCGACGCCTTCCATCGCTGGCTGCCTCCCGGCCAATGCTTCGCCGCCGACGGGTCCGCGAAAAACGTCGCCACCCCTTGAGGTAACGCCACTGCCCTCTCTGCCAACCACCGCTTCGTGGCATTATTTTTCCACGATCAGCTTCCCGACCATCCTGACCGCCATGCTGCCGATCCTCGTTTTAGGGTCTATCAGCCCCAACCCCCCTTTCTTCTTTGGCAGGCGTGCCAACTCTCCACTCCACAGCACGAAAAGCTTCTCCGCCGTGGCTTGCGCGCTAGAGACGTAATTGTCACACGTCTTCTGGATGCATCTCCAGAGCTCCTCCGGCGGCGGATAGATTTGCGCCTCGAAAATAAAAATCGGCATGATGTAAGCGTTGATTATTGTCACTCTCGCGGCTATCAACAAATGTTGGCACTCCCATTTGACTAACTCCGTTTTCCCTCTTTCCCACGCTTTCTCCAAGAATGGCCCTGCGTCCCCATCGGGTGTGATCCATATCCCGAGCAGGCGTTCCGGCACACCGTCTGCTGCCCATTTGAAATTCACCCCTTCCGCTCCACTCTTCCCCTTGTTCCTTCCTAGCGGCATGATCACCGATTTGTCTTTGTTCGTTCGCAGGCCTGACATCCCCCCGAACTGCTCCAAGACTGCCTCCGCTTCCTTCGGTTGTTCCACTCCTTTCAGGCCAGTGTTGTATCGTCTGCATACCCAACGTATGACAACTCCGTCGCCCCTTCTGCGCTCACCCCCAGTTTCTTCTCTTTGAATTTTTGGCACAGTGGCTCTAGTGCGCACAGGAAGAGGTACGGGGCCAGCGGACATTCTTGCTGCACACCTCTTTGCATCTCCACTCTCTCCCCTATCCAGCCGTTGATTGCCATCCTTGTCCCGGAGCCGTGGTGTAGCCCCTTGGTCCAACGAATGAATTCCTCCGGTATACCCAATTTGCACATCGTCTCGAAGAGGTATGGTCTCGCCACCATGTCATACGCCTTCTGGAAGTCCACCATGAGGAGGAACCAGTCCTCCCCCCCGTTGTCCGCAGCTTCCACCGCGTCGGCCACTACTTAAACCGCGTCCGCCAAGCTCCTCCCAGGTATGAAGCCGTGTTGATCCTCTTATATCACCAAATCCAGCTCTTTCTTAAGTCTGTTAGCCAGCAGCTTCGCCAGCACCTTGTATGCCGTGCTCAGCAACGTGATGGGTCTGTAGTTGCCTAACTGATCTGTCAGTCCTTTTTTGTGCAGCGGGACTGTGACCGCCGTGGTAATCGATTCGTCCAGGAGTCCCGACCGCTCGAACCTCTTGGCGAATTCGACCAACGATCCGCCCAGGAGATCCCAGTGAGCCTTGAAGAGCTCTGGCGGTAAGCCGTCCCGGCCCAGCGACTTGCCCCTCGGCAGGCCCGCCGAAGCCTCTTTAACCTCCCCTTTTATCCATGGGGCGCGTAGCCTCGCCGCTGCATCCTCAGGTAAGCGTCTGGATACTGCTATCGCCTCCCGATCCTGCAGTTCTGCCTCCGCTTGCCTCATGGAGGCTTCTTGGAAGTGCTCGGCAGCTGCCTCCAAACTTCTTGCGAGCCGTGGAACCGCTTCCCTTTGTGCAGCACCTCTTTGATGACCGTCTTTTCTTTCCTCATCTTGACTTTGGCTGACAGGTATGGTGACGGGATTTTTTCCGTGCAGCTCCAAGTCCAGCCTGGCTAGGACATGTAGCCTCTCCCTCTCGCTCTCCTGGTAACCCTCCAGCTATGCCTCCATGGTCAGTAGCTTCTCCTTCTCTCTTGCCTCCGTCGGCCCCGCCATAACCAGGTGGTTCAACCTTGTGACCTCCACTTCCAGGTGTTGCCTAGTTGCCCTGACGCGTTTACGTTCCCCCCTTTCATGCGCCCGCAGAGCCGCAGTCAGACGCGGAAGAGTATGCTCCAGCGTCCGACCGCCTTGCCCATCTGGTGGCCCCATGAGTTTTTGTATCATTGTCCTGACTCCCCTCCGATTCACCCGCGTTGCGTGTAACCTCCAGATTCCAGGCCCGCTTTCGTGCGACGACTCAAAGGCGAGATTGATGCGGATCACGAAGCGGTGATCCGACAATTTCTTCGGCACCCACTTATGATTAGCCTCCATCAGTTGCCCCAGCAACGACGTTGACACCAGCGCCCTGTCAATTATGGATCTGGTGCCTAACGGCCTCGCCTTGAACGTATACTGCTTCTCCCCAGAGATGAGTGCCCTGAATGCGACTCTGAGGTCGAAGCCAGACCACGCCTCCAGCATGTGCTGATTCTCCCTACCAGAACCCGTGTTCAATGACCTGTCCAGGTCCGGGTCCGCGATGGTGTTGAGATCTCCCACTAGTACCACATGCGTTCCCGCCGGCTGGGCCTTTGCAAAAGGGACCAAATGCTCTGTATGGAACTTCGTCCGCTTCCCTGGCTGTGCCGGGAGGTATGCCGCTATCAACCTGAAAGGCGTTACCCCCCCTTCCATAGTCACCCCTAACAATCTCAATGTATGGTGAGTCATCACATCCGTGAAACGTAAGTGTTTTCTAAAAGCCACGATCGCCACACCCCCTGCTCCTTTCTCTGTGCTTGCTGCTGCCCAAGCCGTTGATTTCAACTCTTTCAAGAAGTTATGGTCCTCCTTGATCCTTGTATCTGACATTACAACCACATCCCCGGCCTTCCTCAGCCATGCACGGTGTTTGATTCTTTTGCCGTTGCTTTCGAGGCCATTTACGTTGACCTCGTAGATGGTGAGTTGCGAACGCTTATCCATTGATCAACCGTGTAAAGAGCCCCTCGCATCCACGGGCTTTATTGAACTGTGTACAGACAAGTAAGACAACCGTCAACTTCAAACACCTCTCCTTCTCAAGATCTGTGTTCATTGCCGCCATGAGTCTGACGCCTGCAGGGAGCACTCCGGAGCCCGGCCCCCGCAGCTGAGTGCTCACATCCCGAACTCCTTCTTGACCACCAGGAGATTCATCTTCCCCTTGCTCTGACGTGTCGCCGATCCTGCCTTGAGACGCTCGGTACAGTGCATAACCGAGGCCGGTGCTGTAACGTTGCTTCGGTATGAAGTGGCGCGTCAGGAGAGAACCTTCGGGAATGTTGTAATAACCTTTCGAGTATCCCAGCAATACGGTGTCAAGTAATGTTTCTTTTCAGGATTGTCGATGGAAATGCACACCAGCTTAGAACTATATTGGACTGTTTATCGTGTGTTTTGTTAAAATAGTTTCCTAGTTGTGCCAAAACAGTATGAAGAATTTAAAGGCTGCTTGTGCCGAGTATGAATTCACTATTTGGCACAGGAGAGAAGCAGATGGGAGGGAGTGGTGGTGGCAAGTCGACGGTGTGGCACACCCTCACGCAATCGCGCTACGTGGATTACGCGCTCCCGCTAACTCAGATCATACGAAAGTTCATTTAAGTTTAATTATTATGGTGTTACGGTGTGAGTTGGTGGTTAGGCGCTCGAGCGAGTCGTGTCATGTTGCGGTGTCGCGTGCAGTGGATGCGCGTTCGTTGCCACGGATGGCTCGTGCCGCGTTCGTCCAGCGCTAGCGACGTCGCGCGGTGCGCACGGCTGCTGCACGCCTCGCCTGCGTGCGCGCACCGCCCTCCCGCCAGCCGCGCCTGCAGCCGCGTGGGCGCCACTGAAGCGGCAGCTGCGCGTTTGACGAGGTGCGCGAGAGGCGCGCATTCCCGCGCCAGCGCCATTGGCGGCGCCCGCCATGTTAGGGTTGGTTCGCCCAACCATGGAACCTATGGCGAAAGTCTCTACGACGGCGGAATGACGGCGAAATGGAAGCGCGTGGATGATTCTAGGTGAAACGGTGGAAATCGGCCTACGGCGTGAGAAAGGAGAGAGAAATCGAGAAGGAATGTGTGAGAAGGTGGAAGAAGCATCGAGATTGAAGTTGGCGAGGGGAAATTGTGGTTCGAGCTCGAGGCGTGTTCGAGAAGGTTCCAGATTCGGTCTTGAGGAGTGTTCACCGAATTCGGCTCGGTTGCGTGTGCGACTCGGGGTGAAACGAGGCGCACGCGGTTACTTGGGAAACAAGTGAAGTTACGAATCGCATTTTGTGTCTTGCCTGACTATAAAACTGCTTGTACTCATTCTGGAAATCATACCAATCAGATTCTGAAAATTGCTGAAGTGTGTATTGACAACTTCAAGCAGAGCTGCGCATATCATTGGATTCGGGAGATCGTGGAGAACACGATAGGCGATAGCAAGTAGACTATTGCCGACTAAGGTGCTTACGATCCTAAGACGCCACTCGCGGACGGATGCGCGGGACGCTGCTGCGGAGTGATGCGAGGTGCCTCGCGCCTGCCCGCGCGCACCGCACCCACTCTACCCGCCCATGAGCGCCCCGCTCCCTCCAACCACACCTGCGTGCTTCGCCTGCGCGCGTATCGTGGCGCTCGCCGCCCGCCTGCCCGGCAGTGGTGCGGCGCATGTCGCGAGTGGCGGCAAGAGCGTGCGTTGTGCGCGGGTTGGCAGGGTGAGTGCGCGAGTGGAGAGTGAGATGGCATGAGTGCGTGGCAGCGCCGTGAGTGCGAGAGGCAGAGGCGTGGCGGGAGCGGGGAACGGGCGGGAAGAGCAAGTGGCAGTCAACCGCGCTCACACCACCCCACGCATCCCCCCTCATCCCTCCAATCCCCTTCACCTCTGCCCCACGCATTCCGCTCATTTCCTTTCCATTCACGCAACCACCCTTGCATTGCTCTTCCCCCTCCTCTCCCCCTCCTCTCGCCTTCATTTCCCCCTTCTTTTCCGCTCCTTTCACCCACCTTTCCCCCTCTTAACGCATCCATTTCCGTCTCTCTCCGTGCAACCACCGTTCCCTCCGTTCCCCATCTTCCTGCAAACCCCCTCCTCTTTCTCTGCGAGTCTGCTGCTTTCCCCCTTGTGTCCCCCTGCACCCCTGCTGCCCCGCGCCTGCCCCACGCGTGCGCGCATGTGGCGCCGTGGGCCGTATGACGGTGGGGGCTACAGGCGGCAGGGAGGGCATGGCCGCGGATCATAGTGCAACAACCGCACCAACCAACCATCACCGCGCTGCCACCGCCCTTCATACTGCTGCCATCGCCTGCCCATGCACCAAACCCTTTCTCGCACCCTCTTCCGCCCTCCTTTCCCTCTGTCTTCCACTTTCCTCTCCCCCTCCTCTCTCCTTCCTTACCCTCTTCCCTTCCCCTTCTTATCCCCTTGCTTCCCTCTCACTTCCCCCTCCTTCGCCCTCATTTTCCCTCGCCCCTTCCTAATCCCCTCCCCTTTCCTTCTTTCGCCTCCTTTCACTCTCCTGTTCTCTCCCCTTCCCCCCCATTCTCCCTCCTGACCCCCTCCCCTCCTTTCCCCCTCCTCTCTCCGTTCCCGCTCCTTCATCTTCTATTTCCTCCATTTCCCCTCCTTTCCCCCTCCTGTCACCCTCCTATCCGCCTCCCGTCCCCCTACATCTCCTCTCCTTTCCTCCTCTACCCCCCTTGCTTTCCTTCTCCTGTTCCCCTCCTTTCCCCCTCCGTCCAACCACCTTTCCCTCATTTCCCCATCTTCCTCCAACCCCCTCCTATTCGCCTGCCTGACTCCGCCTTTCACTTCTCACTACTTCTTTTCCTCCGATCCCCCTCCCTTCCCCCTCCCATTCCTCCCTCCATTCCCTTTTCTTCCCCCGCCTTTCTCCCTCCTTACCCCCTCCTTGCCCCTTCCTTCCCTCCTCCTTCCCCCCTCGTTTTCCGCTCCGTCCCCCTCATTTACCCTGCCCACTTCGATCCTTTACCTATTCCACTGCCCGTCTCCTCCTTTCGCGCTCATTGTTTCCCTTCCCATTTCCCCCTTTCTTCCCTCCTTTCCCCCACCGCCCCCCCTCCTTTCCCCCTCCGTCCCCCCTCCGTGCGCGCTCCTGCGCCCCTGCTGCCGCGCGCCTTGCGCGGGTGCTGTGTGGGGGCAGGCAGAGGCAGAGGGCGGGGCAGGCGGCAGGGGTGCAGCGCCATGCAGGGGAGGGCAGGGCGGGGATGCAGCCACGCGGGGCTCAACGGGGCTCTCCACTCGCCCTGCCGCCACACCTGCTGCTCCTCCGCCCCTGCTGCCCGCCTGCTGCCCTCGCCCCCCCCTCCCTCCTCGCCACGCCCATCCCCGCGCTGCGCCCTCCACTCCCCCACGTCAGCTCCTTGCCGCGCCTGACCCACTTGGGCCTCTCAGTTGCTGCTGCACCTGGGGTGGGGTGAGAGCAGCAGCTTCACCACACCACTGCATGCGCTCAACCATGGCATGGCAGCACCATCAACATCACATGGGACCATCCCAACTCTCAACCTCCCAAGCCACTCCTCATGCACGCACCTCACTGTGCATGCCACTGCACCGCACGCCCAATCGAATCCAATCATGTGCTTCCCTTATCCACTTGTCACTGCTTGCTAGTATAGTAGGGTAGGGTTTCTTCATTCAATGATTCATTGCAAGTTGGCACAAAGAACAAGGGTTGAATTGAAGCCTACGGTACACTGGATACAGGTAGCCACCTAATGTCATGGCAGGACCTACAGCATTGCTGCCATGCCATGCTGCCTACTGTACTGTGCTTTCCTTGCACCCATTTGCAGCTACGCCAAGTGAGGACCTTTAGTGTTGGGGTGTCAGGTTGCCTTCCACTACCACCTTTCCACCCATGCTAGTCCTTCCCAACCAACCCCACTCCACTCCCACCCTTGAAGCTTGCAGCAGCAGCGCAGTCACAGCACAGCACCACTCACCTTGCCCTCACCTCCTCCACCTTGCAACCGCCATGCACCCACCCGCACTCCCACAAACGGCCTGCTGTGAAGCAGGCCGCAAAAAAGGGTCGTGCCACCGTGTTGCCTTGCCATCCCCACCACGCCCATCCTCCTCCCCACCACTCCCACTCGCTGCTCCCCCTCTTGCTCTGCTCTGCTGCGCTTACCTGCTTTCCACCCCTCCACCCATCTCATCCTCAACCCTTCCCCCCCCTCGCTCCACTTTTTTTTCTGTATTTTGTTTTACCAAGAGCCAGACAAGTCAAGGCCCTCATGTGCGCTTTGGGCCGTCATACTGCAAACAATCGTCAACCCTTCTTTCTTCTCTTCTCAGCTCTTTTCACCTCATTTTTTGTGATGCTGTCTGTTTTCTTTTTCCTCTCTGTTTTGTGTTGCGAGAGTCAAGGCCGTCAAGGCCGCCATGGGCGCTTTCGGGTGGCAGTCAGCGCGGCCTTGGCCGTTCTGCGAGACGCCTTCACTGCACCTTCACCTTCCACTCGCCGCACCTCCCTGTGTGCTACGGCACATCGAGGCCTGGGAATGAGTGTCGCTCCCTCCACGCGCCGTATCGCTGCTCCCGTGTTGGTCGGCTTCGGAATGCGCGACGGGGGTACCCACATCGTTGATTGCGTTGCTGCCGCTTTGCTGCCACCACCTGACGGGGGTGACGACGATGAAGTTTCCGTCGCAGCGGGTTCCGTCGCAGCGGGTTCCGTGGCAGGTGATCCCGGCGCTGCACATCCGGCGCACGAGAGTGCGGCGCAGCTGACTCCGGCGCTGCGGAGTCCAGCGCAGCAGTTTCCGGCGCATCCGAAGCGGCACAGTCGCACGCTGCAGGGTCCGACGCACCAGTTTCCAACGATGCACGTTCCGACGCGCCTGACTCCCACGCTGCGCATTCCCACGCACCAGTTTCTGACGCCGTGGCGTCTTGCTTGCATCCCGCGGCGGCGTGAGTGCGATGAGCGTTGTTGGTGCTGTCGCTCAGCGGCTGTACGCGCCGTGATGCCCTCGACGTCTCCCTGTCGAGGCTCTTCCAGAAGCTCAGCGCTGCAGGATACGACGGATACGACGACTCGCACACTGAGGCCATGCTGAGGTAACGAGAACGCGACCGGGAAGGCGGAGAGGTTCTAGTAAGACCAGAAAGTGTAAGCTGGAGAGCGACGAGAGGAATGAGAGCGTGAGGTGGTGCTTTGTACTGGGCAGGTGCGAGGGTGGCGAGTGGAGAGCGGAGAGGCAGAGCGAGAAGCCTTGGGTGGTCCGGGGGGGAGTGGAGGAGACAGGAGGGCAGCACGCTGCGTGCGCTGCGGACAGATCGAGGCCGAAAACGAGTGCCTTGGGATCTGGCTTTGGTGCACTTCGGTGCACTTGGGTAAAATCAGCTTCGCGCGCAGTTCTGTGCGCTGAAAGGAAGATGCTCCCGAACTCCTCGCCTGAACTGGTTCGGCCTGACTTGTCGGCCCAAACCACTCTAGATTCGCCCCGTAACCCTCGCAGGTCTTTCCGAGCCAGATTTTGCCCTTGGTTTTCGCCAAGCCCGTTCGCCATACCTTGGGTCTCAAAGTAGAATCTAATTCATTAAAACTTGCTGCACAGATATTTCACTTACAAAATGCTTATAGGACAAGATATCATTATTTGCATATTTAATCAATCAGATGAAGTTCGTTGAAACAGGTTAGTGATTTACATTTCAAGAAATCAGAAAGTGCATATTTACAAATATCGAGTATCGCTTAAGTGAGTTACGCTTCACTCGAATCATAATATGTTGTTGGAAGAACAATAAATGGTCATAAGTGTCGAACTGAGAAATTTCTTAGTGATACAATCTGAACCGTCTTATAGGATCGTCTCAGCTTGATCACACGGAGTGTACCAACGGAAGATTGCTATGCAATGTCGAGTACGGACTCTGTCACGAGAAGGAGACTTGAATCTCGACAGAAGTGACCAATACAATGCGGTATAAGGGTTTATATAGGGATACTGTGGAATATGAAAGGTCCTAGCTGTTGGACACAACTAATTCTAAGCGCCTCTGTCGTGTCGAAACACCAAGTCAAAAGCGAAGCAAAGTGTATCGACGCACCGGCGAGTCAACCCTCGGAGGTTGAGCAGTTGCTAGAGGTTACGCGAAAGTCAAAGGTCAGCGACCTTTGACCTAACAAGTACAGCGCGACAGCAAGGACACACAACTGACTCGCTACAGAGCAGTTGCCCGAGTCGTCACTGTATCGAACCGCAACAGCAACAGTAAAGTAGTTGCAACTGTATCTCTTCGTATTCCTTGTACTCTTATATAATCTTGTATCTCTTTGCTTTAATCAATCTACTTTGCTCTCACATACTAGCGCAAGGTGGTTCAAACACTTCTCATTAAGCTTCCGCTGATTACAACAAGTCCTGCTCAGAGTTCAGCCCTGCAAAGATCCTAAGGGTTTTTTTTTCTCAGCCCAACATGGTATAAGAGCTAACAGGGGGAACTCAACTACTATCAAGTTATCTACAACGTCAGAAGGCATGGCAACACAAAAGGAAAGGAGCTCCTCAACGGCTCCCCGGGTACTACTCCTACTCCACCTCCTGCCTCTAGCCTACAGACAGAGGAGGGTACGGCAACAAGACCAAGAGCAACTTCCACCGAAACTCCCGCAAATCAGGCCGCGGGCCTCGACCCAAGCATGATGGAGAAATTCTTCTCCTTCATGTCCTTCTACGAACAGCACTAGCAAGGAGCACCTGCGCAGTCAAACAATAGCAACAACAACAACGACGTGACGCCCATGAGCCTCGACGGGTCATCCTACGCGCGAGGAAATCAACAGCAGCAGCCTACCTTTGCTCCGTACGAGCCCCAGCGCGGTTCTGTCAGCTTTATGCCGCGCCAGCAAACTTCACCTGAGCAAGTAAAGACATTGGACGCACTTCAAGTTCAGTCGCAGTTCGCACACGTCTTAAAACTGCAGACGTCAAGGCCCTTCGACGGAAAAGACTTCTTCACCTGGTCGTTCGAGTTCGAGTTAATGATGGAAGGCGCGCAGATTCTTGGCTTCTTCGACGGGTCCCTGCCATACCCAACACACGGCACACAGTATGACAAACAACAGTACACGTATCAGTCAATGATGGCGTACACGATTCTACTGAGGAACATCACTCCGAATCAGCAGCAGAATATACGGTCTTACCGGGGATACGGCAACTCCACCGAACTCGCATACAGCCACTTGAAGAGCTTGTATGAAGCAACAGACAGCGTAAATCAGAGTCGGTTGATGGCGCAACTGACAACAGTCGAGATGAAACCAGGCAAAAAAGGAATGGCGTATATTAGTCGTTGCCGCGAACCACGCGACAAACTCCTCCGATGCGGAGGATCAATCTCCGAAGAAGCCTTCGTTACAGTTGTCATCACTGGACTTGGTCCTCATTGGCGCTCCACTCAAGCCATTCTCCGAACTCACGGGAAGATTTCCGAAGCAGCACTCTGCGCCGAAATTCACGCCGAGCAGCAAGACATGGACCTGCAAGAGGAGCGGCACAAGAAGAAAACGTCAGTTCCCGAATTTGCGTTTCACACTCAACGGCGCTACAACAATCGGCATCAACCAAAACCCGTACCTTCGTTTTGTCATCTCTGCAAGACGTCAGGACATCCACGCACACACTGCCCGAATCGACAACAGTCAACACCGCCACAGCGACAGCTTCGACCTTCAAGCAGCCAAGTCGCTTCAACACAAGTGAACCCCACCGCTCAAGTTCAAACGACATCAACGGGACAACCTGCACAAGGAGCAAGAAACATCGTCAGTTGTATGGCAAGACTGAGTGACTCTTGCATCACCGAGTCACCGCCACACTACTCACCGGAAGAGCAACTCGACAACACCACACCTCGCCGCGAGTCACTTCAACCGAACCCAACGTACGCAGCCATCGCCCAAAGCGAGCCATCCGGGAAGGACACCTGGTTCTTAGACAGTTGCTGCGGATAGCACATGTGTTCCTCAGGACGCTTCGTGCAGCGAGAGTACCAACTCCAACGCGAAGTAGTCATCACCGTCGCCAATAACCAAAACCTGCGCACACGACGACAAGGAGTGGTTCAACTTCAGTCACGAGAGACAAATGTCATACTGCAGATGTCGAAGGTTTTAATAGCAGAAGGGCTCGGTTACAACTTACTGAGCGTCAGCCAAATGATGGCGAAGGGCATACACCTTGAAGCAGACAACACCACCCAAGAGTTCAAATTGTACCACAGGAGAGGAGGTCTTTACATCGGAAAGGCAATCTTGAAAAATAATGTCTTCGTCCTCGACTTGGTCCCAGATCTCGGCACCGCAGGCAGCGACGGAATCGTCACCTTCACCTCTTGGACACATCCACCGGATCTTG